ATATATATATATATATATATATATATATATATATATATATATATGTATATATATATATATTTGTATATATATATATATATATATATATATCGAGCAGTATATCGAAATATACCACTTGGTATACAGCCCGTACCGAGTGAATCATGAAATTTCGGTATAGTATGATATTTCAATCATTAGTTTGGATTCATCTAAGGAATGAGAGGTTTCCACTAGAAAATTTTGGAAAATTAAAACCAAAGGCTGATGGTCCATTTCAGGTGTTTAAGAGAATTGGCTAGAATGCTTATAAGATTGAATTACAATGTGATTATGGAGTATCTCTAACATTCAATATAGTTGATTTATGTCCTTATCATGTTAATAAAACAAATGAGGACTTGAAGACAAGTCTTTTTTAACCACAAGATATTGACACGGGAGTGCCTAATTTGCTACAATCAACTCATGTAAATCTTACTGATCCTATGGTATTCTATACAGCTCACAATACTTGACCCATAGCCTTTATCCAAACATCTCAAATATGATAATCCATAAGCCAAATGAGTTGCAAGCCTATTTTTTTAAACCTATAGATGGCCTAACTTAATTGAATAGCCCGAATTGATTGCTAAAGGTTAAGGGGCATACCTTTATAAGTTGAAAAAGCTCAAACTTTCTAACCTATTTTTAAAACAAGTCAAAAGTATTTCCCTAAAGAAAGTTAAAACTATTTCATTAATAGATGGTTTGGCAAACAGATTTGTTAAACTTAGTTGATTTTCAAAGAAAGAGTTAATTTAACTTATCTTCATGACCAAGGAATGTATTAAAGGGCTTAGATATCAGCAACAAAGTAATAAATTTTAGAGTTAGAAAGGAATAAAATCTTTTATTTTTGATGCACTAATATTTATTTTTGTATTTTAGAGTTAGAAAGGAATAAAATCTGATTGTATTTGTAGAAACTCTTTGAGTTCTCTCTTTTAACTCTGTATCTATATGGTTTACCATATAATGGTGGGTTTAGTTTCTGTATATCTTGAATATTTTCTTGAGTGGTGAGTCATTCTTAAGCTTTGTATCCTTGTTTCATTATCTTTAGGGTGGTAAGTTTCTGCTAGAAAATCATGGGTTGGTATCTCATGCACAACAAAAAATAAAAATAAAATCAGATTTTCCAAAGTCAAGTATTTGGTCATTGTGCAATAATTAATGTGCAAGAAAATTGTAAAATTGAAAAACCACATGTATTATGTTAGTAGTGTTAGCTGAGAAGATCGTATATCTTCGAAATTTTCAAATCTTATGGAGTGGATGAAAGAGAACTCGCATACTCCTCTCTAGCGGCGACTATGCTCCTTAGATCGTTATGGTAGTCTTGCAGTGCGCATGGAGAGGGAAATCCCGTAGCGATATGAGGAGCATCGTTGTTGCATCCATTGTGTGGATCACTGCTAGAAAGGAGTACATGAGTTCTCCTTCATCCACTCCATTGAATCTGAAATTTTTGGGGATATATAATCTCCCTAGGTAACACATCTAACATGATACGTGTGGTTTTTTGGTTATGTGATTTTCTCGCCACCAATCGACATCAAATACTTGACTTGGAGAAATCTAGCTTTGTTTTTATTTTTCACTGTGTATGAGATGTTGACCCGTGATTTCTCAATAGTGATATCAGAGCCAGGTTCATCATGTGATAATTAGCTTATAGACTGCATGTATTGTGTTTAATCATGTAGAATTGTTTTATGCATTCTTACTGCATTTGACGTAGTTTTTGTTGGGAAATCACGAGTCTGTATCTCATGTGTAGTAGAAAACAAAAATAAAACCAGATTTCCAAAGTTAAGTACTTGGTCGTTGTGCAACGATTGGTGTG